CCTTTTCGGGATTTTCAGGAGTATTTCGAGATCTTTGGGACCTATTTCCGGATTTTTGGAACTTTCGGGACCATTTCTCTATTTGTGGAACTTTCGGGACCATTGCGAGATTTTTGGGACTTATTGAGGAATTTTGGGACTTTGGGAACTAATTCGGGATTTTTGGGACTTACTTCGGATTTTTGGGACTTTCGGGATGCTCGGAACTATTTTCGGGATTTTTGGGGCTTTCGGGACTATATCGATTTTTTNTATCCGGGACCTATATCGATATGTATTTTGAATGACTTCATAATGATTGTGGAACCAAGGAGCGTTTCCTAGGTTGCATGAGAGTTAGGAAGCGGGGATGCGCAAATAATGGCTAGCGAACAAATGGTAATTGCAATGCGCGAAATATATGTTTGTCCGTATGTGATGCGAGAATTTAGAGGAACTATGTACTAGCAAATATCAGCGAACTCCAATATACCAAAACGAAGAAATGAAAAAACGGCCCGAAAGTCCCAAAAATTCCGAAATACAGCCAAAAATCCCAAAAACACCGAAATTACTCCCGACAATCTCGAAATAAACCCAAAAGTTCCAAAAATCTTAAATAAGTCCCAAAAATCTGGAATTGGTCTCGAAAGTCCCAAAAATACCCAAATAACTCCCTTTAATCCCGAAATAGTCCCGAGAGTCCCAAAAATCCCGAAATACTCCTGAAAATCCCAAAAGTCCCGAAATCAGTTCCGAGAATCCCGAAATAGGCCCGAAAGTCCCAAAAATCCGAAAATAGGTCCAAAAAATCCCGAATTAACTCTCAAAATCCCAAAATTCCGAATTAATCACAATAATGGAGAAATAGTCCCGAAAGTCCCAAAAATCCGAAATTAGTTCCAAAAGTCCTGAAATGCTCTTGAAAACCCTGAAATGGTTCCGAAAGTCTCAAAAATCCAAAAAGACCCAAAAAAAACCGATATACTCCCGAAAGCCCCAAAAGTCCCAAAAATACCGAAATATATTCCGAGAATTATGAAATAGTCCAGAAAGTCCCAAAAATCCTGAAATAGTTCCGAAAGACCCATAGTTCCTAAATTAGTCCGGAAAATCCCAAAATGATCCCGAAAGTGCCAAAAATCCAAAACAAAGTCCCAAAAATCCCGAAATACGCCCGAAAATCCGAAATTATTCCTGAAAATCCCGAAGTAGTCCAAAATTCCTAAAAATCTGGAAACTGTCCCGAAAGTCCCGAAATTACTCCCGACAATCTCGAAATAGACCCGAAAGTTCCAAAAATCCTAAATAAGTCCCAGAAATCTGAAAATAGTCTCGAAAGTCCCAAAAATACCTAAATTACTCCCGACAATCACACGAGCCCCAAAAATCCCTAAATAGTCCCGAAAGTCCCAACAGTCCCGAAATTATTCCCGAGAATCCGGAAAAGCCCATAAATCCAAAAATAATTTCCAAAAATCTGGAAATAGTCCCAAAAGTCCGATATACTAAGTCACAAAAATTTCGAAATTAGTCCCGAAAATCCCGATATTAGGTCGGAGAATCCCGAAAGTCCCAAAAATCCGAAAATAGGTCCAAAAAATCCCGAATTAACTCTCAAAATCCCAAAATTCCGAATTAATCACAATAATGGAGAAATAGTCCCGAAAGTCCCAAAAATCCGAAATTAGTTCCAAAAGTCCTGAAATGCTCTTGAAAACCCTGAAATGGTTCCGAAAGTCTCAAAAATCCAAAAAGACCCAAAAAAAACCGATATACTCCCGAAAGCCCCAAAAGTCCCAAAAATACCGAAATATATTCCGAGAATTATGAAATAGTCCAGAAAGTCCCAAAAATCCTGAAATAGTTCCGAAAGTCCCATAGTTCCTAAATTAGTCCGGAAAATCCCGAAATGATCCCGAAAGTCCCAAAAATCCAAAACAAAGTCCCAAAAATCCCGAAATACGCCCGAAAATCCGAAATTATTCCTGAGAATCCCGAAGTAGTCCAAAATTCCTAAAAATCTGGAAACTGTCCCGAAAGTCCCGAAATTACTCCCGACAATCTCGAAATAGACCCGAAAGTTCCAAAAATCCTAAATAAGTCCCAGAAATCTGAAAATAGTCTCGAAAGTCCCAAAAATACCTAAATTACTCCCGACAATCACACGAGCCCCAAAAATCCCTAAATAGTCCCGAAAGTCCCAACAGTCCCGAAATTATTCCCGAGAATCCCGAAAACCCCATAAATCCAAAATAAGTTCCAAAAATCTGGAAATAGTCCCAAAAGTCCGATATAAGTCACAAAAATTTCGAAATTAGTCCCGAAAATCCCGATATTAGGTCGGAGAATCCCGAAAGTCCCAAAAATCCGGAAACAGTCCCGAAAGTCCCAAAAACTAGAAATTAATCCTAAAAATCCAAAAATAATCCAGAAGTCCCAACAATTCTGAGAATACCGAAATACTGCCGAAAGTCCCGCTATTAACTCCGGGAATCTCGAAAGTCCCGAAAATCCCAAAAATCCCTGAATATTTGAAAGTCGTTTCGAAAATCCCGAAAATCTTAAACAGTTTCCGGGAATCCCTAAAGAATTACGAAATAGCTTCGAAAATCCCAAAATAGTCCCGAAAACCCCGAAATGGTCTTCTAAATCCTGATTTAGTCTGAAGTATCTCTCAAATCCAGAAACAGTTCCCAAATTGAGGTGTGGTGAGTTTAGGTGAGGTGTGGTGAGAACGAGTGTGATGAGTTCAACTGTGGTGGGTTAAGATTTGGCGGATTTTGGTGTACCAGTAGGAGGTGTGGTGAGTTTAGGTGAGGTGTGGTGAGTTTGTATGTGGTGAGTTGATTTGNACACTTTAGTGAAAGTATTTTGCAAATACTTTCGTTTTTTGTACTTTGGTATCTAGCAGCTCCTAAATACTCAAGTTTTTCTTACTTTAATATCTAATAGCTCCTAANTGGGTATTTAGCAGCTCCTAAATACCTAAGTAAATAGTACTTGGGTATTTAGCAGCTCCTAAATACCTAAGTAAATAGTACTTGGGTATTTATTCATCTCAAAATACTAAGTATTTGTGTATTTAGTACCCAAAGTGGTACTTTAAGTACAAAAGTATTTAGGTGTGCCCATCACTGATACGAATATTTACTTGCTAATATTGTAAAGCAAAAATACTTACTCACTATTGTTCTTATTTTCAAATATGAAAAATGTATACGAGAAATCAAGGCGAATTTATACAAGATGGTGTTACTAGCTCAGTTGATTTTGTGTATGTGTTTCGCCGCACGGCTTTGATATCAAATTGAAAAATTTTGTTTGAATTTCTACACACTCTCTTACAGATTTTGACAGTTTATGCCGCCAAAGCAAAAACAAAATACATGTAGTTTTTTGTTTTTGTACTCCTGCTATCACCTTATATTAATTCGCCTTGCGAGAAATTTTTCATTCTAAAATAAAACTTCCAATCTACAACTTCACTGCGTTTTCATACATTGGGAGCATTTCCCCAATAGGTTATGGGCCATCGCGCAATGTCGATCGCCAAACTAAATGGTGAAAACTACGCAACATGGAAGGTAAAGATGGAACTACTGCTGATCAAGGAAGATTTGTGGGACATAGTTTCAAAGCCGAAGCCAGCGCAGCCGGACGCAAACTGGATCAAGCAGGACGGACAAGCTCGTGGAACCGTTGGACTGATGGTGAATGATGATCAACTGGTGCATTTCAAAAACGCGGCTAAACGTAAGGTGCACAAACGGAATACCTCGGATTCGGCGGTGCTGAAAATCGAAGGGAGAAAGACTCAATTCAAGAGGACGGGAGTTCAGATCGAGTGTTTTTATGGCGAGAAAAACGGGCACATGGAGGATTGTAAATTTTTTAAAGAGAAGCAAAAAAATCACGTTAATAAGGCCGGGAAACAAGATGATTCACTGGAAGAGCAATGTTTTTGGTTAGGCAAGTCAACGAAAAATGATTGGTATATCGATTCAGGAGCAACATGTCACATCGCAAACAATCAGGATTTTTTTGACATGCTAAACGATAATATCCAAGAAGCTGTTAACGTCGCAAATGGTTACCGAATTCGGTCGCAAGGTAGAGGCAGTGGTCACATCGAGATAATAAATGCTGATGGTGAGTCTGAAAGGATAAATGTAAAGGATGTTTTTTTCTTCAATAGAAAGCAACTCGCTATCGGTGAAGAAGTTAACCGAGATGGGTCATCAAGTACTTTTTGAAGGAAATAATTGTAAAATTATTAAACATAATCAAATAAAAGCCACAGCGGAATTAAACAATGATTTGTACAAGCTGAGGGTGACTTGTGCAGAGGTGAATATGGCGAACAGTGCTGGACGACAGCAAGGATGTGTGCATGACTGGCATCGAAAGTTGGGTCATCGTAACATCAAGGTTGTGTGGTCGTATTTGAAGGACAAGAACATCAAAGTCAATCTGTGTGATGCTGAGTTTCAGTGCGAAGTATGCCTTATTGGTAAACTGTCAAGAAAACCATTTCCGAAGGTAGCAGGTGAGCACTCAGGTGCTGTGTTAGATTGAATACACACAGATGTTGCTGTAATGAATAAAACAACACCAAGTGGTTTCCGTTACTTCGTGACGTTTATTGATGATTACAGTAGGTACTGTAATTTGTATTTACTCAGACGCAAGTCAGAGGTCGTAGCTCGCTTAAAAGATTTTATAGGTTTCGTTAGAACAAAATTTCAAAAGACTCCAAAAATCATAAGATCTGATAGAGGAGGAGAGTTTACTGGGACAGCTGTTGGGCAGTATTTAGCAAGCTTATAAGGCATTCACATTGAGCCACTAACTCGTGTTTATGGGCCATTTTGGAGTTTAAGCCTTAACTCTACTCTTAAACTCGGAGTTTGCCATACAAAAAATTTCGTTAAACTCTCCTCAAACGCCACTTTTATTTGGAGTTTATGCGAATGCAACCATTTTTTTTACCCGATTCGGTTTGTGTCTTTGATAATTCAAACTTGCAACCAACTTGCCGACAGTTAGTCTGTTCCCGTACTGCAGGATTTAATCAGAATTAGTCCGAAGTCGTTCTGTGCACGTAAGTCTAGAATATCGACAATCTAGCGATGCAAAAACCAAAAATGTGGCTCGACAGAACTTTTTGTGTTGATTTCAACCCTACCAAAATTACCTGGCGAAATTAAAATATAAAAAAGATATCAATGGTTAAAGTTAAATTTTCTGATTTTTTTTAATATTAATATTTTCTGAACAACATAACCTATTAAAAAAACTAATGACGTCAAGATAAAGATAATTAATTTTTCTTTCATGTAAACAAAATAAAATAAAAATATATATTTTTAAATGTAGTTTATATAAAATTAGTTCTAAAACTGGTTATAGTATATAACTTGCATAAATGGCATTTAAATTATGTTGAAACTAGCATCAATAATTTTTTAATCGGTTAAATAGTTTCCGAGATATTAAACACATAAGAAATAGTTAAGTTGAACTTTAACCTCTTTAATTGGCTTTGGTTTTTATTTGCACCAAATAATTTTGGTATGGTTGAAATTAGCGTAAAAAGTTCTATCGATCCTTATTTCTTGTTTTTTTTTTATAGCTAAACAGTTGGTATTCTAGACTTATGTGTGTGTGTGTTAACTCCTGTAGTACGGGAACAGACTAAATGAGAATAAGAAAAAGTAAACAAAAAAATGTCAAATTAAACTCTGAGTTTCTTAAACACCCCAACCCAATGTGAACGCTTGACAGTTGTTCATAAACTCAAAATGTTAAACTCGAGTTAATAGCTCAATGAGAACGTAATATTAGGTGTTCAGCCACAGTTCACAACACCGTACACTCCACAACAAAATGGAGTAGCTGAAAGACGAAATCGGTACTTAACTGAGATGGGGACCTTAACGATGAGTTTTGGGGTGAAGCGATAGTTACAGAAAATTATATTCAAAATCGTCTACCGACAAGGTCAAATAATAATATTCCTTTTGAATTATGGGATGGAAGAAAAGTTGATATGTACAAGTTTGAACGGTTTGGTTCAAAAGCTCACGTTCTAATACCAGCTCAAAAGTTATGCAGGAAAACAGAAAAATTAATTTTCGTGGAATATTCAGAGGAGTCGAACGCGCTCAGATTTTTGAGCAAAGAGAAGAAGAAAATAGTCATTAGCCGAGATTACGTAATTCTTAAAGATGATTTGGAATTTGAAAAGCAATCTGGACATATCACTAGAAGCATATCACTAGAAGCTAGTAAAAAGAAAAATACAGAACACAGTGAATTAGAAGATGACGAATACTTGATTGCAGATGAAGATGAAGCTGTAGATGAAGGCAATGATAGCGTTATAATTTCACAACAAGTCTTAATGATGGATTCAAGATCAAAGCGAGTTTCAAAACCCCCAGTTAGATACACCTGCTTAGTATCAGTAGCAGAAGAGCCAAGCCATTACAAAGAGGTTTTAGTTCGACAAGATAAATCCAAATGGATGAAAGCTATGGATGATGAAATGGATTCTCTTCGTAAAAGAGGAACGTGGAATTTGGTAACTCTACCCCGAGGGCTTAAGGCAATAGGCTGCAAAAGGATTTGCAAAATCAAAAGAGACGTAAACGGAAATGTATTAAAGTACAAAGCTAGGTTGGTTACGCAAGGTTTTACACAAAAGTATGGAGTTGACTACGATGAGGTATATGCACCGGTAATACGTTCAACCACTTTCCGCACGTTTTTAGCAGTGGTGGGTTCGCTAAATTACACGGTTAAGCACTATGATATAAAAAAGTATGAAGTCAAATCGAAAAATGCAGAAGTACTAGTATGTAAACTTAAAAAAAGTTTATATGGGTTAAAGCAATCTGCAAGATGTTGGAGTAACAAATTTTCCGATGTTTTACGCGCAGCAGGTTTTCATCAAGGAGAAGCTAATTGCTGTCTTCTGAAGAAAAAGAGGGAAGATCACTACATATACGTATTGGTTTACGTTGATGACGTATTAGTTGCTTCAAACGTAAACACCGATTTCGAAATTGTCAAAAAGATAGATACAGAAGATAATTTTGAAATATCACGGCTTGGAAAAATTAATTTTTATGTGGGTATCAAAATTGAGAGGGAGGAGTCCGGATATTATACCCTAAATCAAGAAAATTATATTGTAAATTTAGCTAAGAAAGTAGTAATTTTACACCGCGATGAAATGAAATTACTAGAAAATAACACTTTGTATCATGAAGTTATTGGCTGTTTATTATACATAAGCATTAATACTCGCCCTGTTATTGCAGCTGTTATGTCAATTCTAAGTCGTCATGTAAGCAGACCGACCAAAAGCGATTGGGTGGAGCTCAAGAGGTTAATAAAATATTTGATTGCCACAAAAGACTTGAAGCTAAAACTCGAAAGTAAGAAAACTGAAGTTCTGGTGGAATATTCAGACGCCGATTGGGCACAAAACCGTGATGACAGAAAATCAAATAGTGGATATATCTTCAAATATAGAGGTGCTTGCATAAGCTGTAGCTGCAGGAAGCAAAACTGTGTTTCATTGTCCTCAACAGAAGCAGAATACATTGCGTTGGCAGAGGCTTGTCAAGAGGCATTGTGGTTAAGAAAACTAATTTTAGACTTCGAGTTGTCAGAGGTGCAGCGCATTACTATTTTTGAAGATAACCAAAGTTGTGTAAGGCTTGTTGATAACAAAAAGTCGTAAAACAAAGCACATAGACACAAAGTATCATTTTGTACGCGACCTAAAACAAAAAGATATAGTAAATATACAATATTGTCCGATTTATATATGCAGATTTACTAACCAAGCCATTACCTTTCATTAAATTGAATAAGTTTAGAAGCGAATTGTTATTGAAATAAGTTTTGTATTTTTGAGGGGAAGTGTTGGATGTTTGGAAAACACTATACGAATATTTACTTGCTAATATTGTAAGCGAAAATACTCACTATTGTTCTTATTTTCAAATACAGCTGCATTTTTTTGTAAGCGACAAAAGAACACTCAACTCGGGTAAAATTTCCTTTTAGCTACTTAAGCAACCCTGCTGGTAGCTGGCAAGAAACATGTGATTAGTTCAACGGCATTTAGACACAAAAATTAATAGAAGTTAGTAATTATGCGAGGTATTTGCGTAATAAATCATGTATATACGAAAACAAAAATTTCCCTCTCCACTTTCTCATTAACAATTCACAATAGAACAATTTTTCACTTAACAACACTACTCTTCAGGTCGCGTATTTTTTAACCGACCTGGCTCAACTCGGAAAAATAGCCGAGTTTGTGTTGTTGCTTTGCGTGGATTTCGTCATTTAAGCGAGTGTTCTTTTATAGCTCGGTTGCAAAGAATGGACCTTATGAAAAATGTATACGAGAAATTTTTCATTCTAAAATAAAACTTCCCATCTACAACTTCACTGCGTTTTCATACATTGGGAGCATTTCCCAATAAATCGGTCCAGCCGTTTGGTGGTTTAGTGACATTCAATATACGGAAAACTATGAAATTGTGAAATAGTGACGTTTCAGCTTTCTTAATTTTTTGGCAACAACAACAAAAGTTTTTAATTTTTTCAAATTGAAAAACCTTCCGCATAGAAGATCCAAAAAAGTACTTTTAAGAGAATTGAAATCGGTTCAGCCGTCTGGTCAGGCATCGCGGTGATATAGATAGATATGTGAAACCGTGACGATTGATATTGCGTATTTTTAGTGTTAATTGTAATGCCTGTTATTTTTTATAGTATTTTTATTTCTATGCATGAATGGCATGTGCAGTGAATAGAAATAATGATAGGGATGATATTTTTAACTAGCACAGTTGCGGGTAGACGGAGAATGACGAAATGCCCCCAACAATCCACAAATATTTCCATGGGTCAACGATAATATCCCACGCTTTGTTACCTATGGTCAATTGTCAGAAGAAGCTCTGGACCTGAACAAAGACCTGAAGACCTACAAATGTTCCCTATTTGTATCGCAAGTGCAGCAGAAAAAAAGACGAACGAAGTATCAGTAAAGTATCAGAAAACTACCCCAAAAAGTTGGAAGATTTGCCAAAAGAAGCAAAACATTTGTTAAATTTGGAGAACTATAGTGATGATGAAGATGTTGATAGAGATCACAATGACGCAAGCGAAATGATGATTGTTTTTTATTAATGGCTATATTTTTTAAACTACTTTCTAAGCTTAACAAAAACATAGAGAAAATTTATATAATTCGGATTCAATAATATATAAAAAAATTACCTATAAAGGGCAATGATGTTTACTTTTGCATGAAAAATTAACAAAACAGTTATTATTACATTACTTGGCAACGTGGGTGAATTAATCAGCTCTATGAAGAAATCTTATGGAAGTGGTAACTGGCCGTCTCCACAGGATAAAATTTATTGCTGCCCAGCTGTCATTTTGGTCGCTAGATATAAGTTATATCAGTGGCAATATTTGTGTGGGCTTTTTATATCTTGATATAAGCTTTTGTAAGATAGCTTTCAAAATGTATTTTTGCCAGATTTAATCGCTTAAAAAATTTAGAAAATAGGCTATTTTACATCCAAGTACATAATTACAAATATTTTAACAGGAAACAGCTAAATTTTTGCTTTTTGTATATTAAAATAATAATGATGTTGCAGCCACGAAGTTTGCGTGCAAATGAAAATGTAGCTGTCAAACTACCAAATTCCCGGCAATAGATGGCAAAATATAAGCTCTGATATATATTGCTCTTGAAGAGCAATGAGCGGTCTCAATTGGCTATTTATGTATATTCTAACATAAGTATTAAGATATAAACTTTATCCTGTGGAGACGGGCAGTAAAGTAATGATGTTGATGATGAAAATAGTGATGAACATATGATCAGGATAATTATGATAATGATAGTTATGATATTTAGTTTGTAATTAATGATGATATTTAATGACTTTAACAAATTATCATTAGTAATAAAAATTATTTATAACAACTAAAGTTTCACTTATTTCACTCTTTGGTAATGCCATAAAAACCTTAATAAAAAAAATTCCACTAACCTATTTTCGGATTTGTCTTTTTTTAATTATTTGGCGCTAGTTATACAAATACATCAAAATATTTTAAATTAAATGTACATACGAATTGATCTCCAGTTTCAGGGTCGATTACCCCACTATGAATTTAAAGAATTTTTTTATTAAGTGCATGCGTATTAGACTGGCTGTTCTGCCGAAGACAGAAGAAGAAGATGGGTAAGGGTTGGAGGTCAATACTAAAATTCGAATCCACTTCCGCCAGGCCTTATACTGGTCGACTGATTGGATGCAGAATCAGCCGAATGGCTGCGCTTAATTGTTCCAAAACTGCGTGGTTGGGAGGGTACGGAACTGACTACGTGCGATGGGGACAACATACCCAGGGTACACGTAATTACTACCAAAAGCTGCAGGAGTGGACACGCAGAAACTACTTAACCTCATTATAGCCCAAAATGAGGGAATGCATACCGACCTATGGAAGGTATACGGGAGCAATGATGAGAAGACGGGTAAACTGCTGACGATCGGGATAGACGACCGGTCGTTGGAAGCTTTCAAGAAGAAAAACTGTATCCTACGATACAGGTTTGGTAGTGCTCTAGTGCATGTGCACAAGGGCAGGAAACCAAAGGCGAAGACAACCAAGCCAAATACTCCACCGGGTGTTCCTGAAATACCGGAGGAGGTGGCTGAGATGGTAGCTGTGGAAGCAGCCAGAAGCGCGGTAGTAGAAGAAGTTAGTCTTCTACCTCATAAGACGGAGGGTATAGACGATTTCGACCTCGGCCTAATAAATATTTGTGCGGATGATGACTCGGAGAGAGCCACCTTGTCAGAGCTTGACGAAACTCGGACAACGGATGAAGAAGAAGAACGCCATTGCGGATATAACCATAGGAAATACTCAAACGATTGCGCTGGTGAAAGAGTGGAGAGTATCCATGTCAGATCATAGGATAATTAGGTTTGACATTGAAGCAACCCCTACTATACATAGAGTTTTAAGGAATCCCAGGAAGACAGACTGGGAGAAGTTCAAAGACAACCTGAGGTTCAACGCAGCCCAACCTGGGCTGGGTCAGAAGATCAGAAACGAAACAGAACTAGAATTTGCTACAGAGCGCTTTAATGAATTACTCATTGATTCATGTGAAGACAATTGTCCTATGTGTAAGATATGTTCCTCCAGGGATGCATCCTGGTTGAACAACAATCTAAGTAAACTCAGAACCAAAGTTCGGAAATTGTTCAATCGAGTAAAACCAACCGGGGAGTGGTCAGAATACAGAAACACCTTAATGCTTGAAACACAATACCCGGCGAACGGCGAAGTTCGCCGAATTGGGCGAGCCGTCGTTCACCGTTCGCCCTGCTATTTCGCCAACTTTAACAGAATTAGAGCGGTAGCGAAAACAGCTGATACCATTTCGTCGCACTTATAAGTGAGGTGACCATATTTTGAAAAACGAAACCATATTTAGAAATGATGAAATGATAACAAATATAAATATAAGGCAAGGGGGAATTATTATAAATTATTTTATTTTAAGCCAGATTTAACGAATCGTTCACTGTATTTTTCAACCATCAAAAATAATTCGTGTTACATGCTGTTTTCTTCTAAATCTTTGAAAGTAAAAAAACATACGGCCACCTTTGGCATGTACTGCCGCCATCGCCCAGCAGAGCGATAGAAATAAATCTATCGCCACGAAACGCCGCCGAGCGAATTTCGCATTTCGCTTTGGCTGTGTTCAATTTCATATGCCGGCGGGTGTTCTAATTTGGACAGCGGTAATTTCGCTGTGGTGAGTTCGCCGGCATTGTGTTTCCACGGTAACTCTGTACAACAAAGAAATAAGAGAGTCTAAGCGTTTAAGCTTTAGGAACTTCTATGAAAGCATAGAAGATACTGCGGAGGCTACACGACTCTATAAGGTAATGGCAAAAACGAATTGTATTTCGTCCGCAAGTCTAAGGAAGAGTGATGGGAGTTTCACTGGGAGTTAGGAAGAGAAGATAGATACTCATTTCCCAGGATCTACATCATATTCCGAGCCAGATCGGACTGAACATGGTAGTAAAATAAGCAGAGAAAACTGGTTAGTGGCTAAGGAAATATGCTCTGAGCCCCAACTCAGGTGGGCGGTGAACACCTTTAAACCACTAAAGTCACCGGGAGCGGATGGAATATTCCCGTTGGCGTTTGCAGAAAGATTAGATTTGACCGACGTCTACGCATTAAACATAGACCTTTTACCAAACACTATGTCTGAATTACTAAGCGGCACCGCCCTTCAGTGGTACCGCAAAAACAACAAACATTGGAGCAATTGAACGTCATTTAAGCGTGATTTCCTGCGCTTTTTCCTGCCGGCTCGATATTTTGAGCGCCTGGAAGACGACGTAAGGCAATGGAGGCAGCACCCGCGAGAAAAGTTCAACGACTACGTGGTCGCGATACAATACAGAACTTGATGCGACAGTAACGAACAGCAGTTGGAGAGAATCTTCTGTAATAGCCACACCGATTACTTGTTGTACATCAAACGGAACGGCTCGCAGAAGAATATAAAGGCATTCACGAGTCACCGACGGACCCCAGAAGTATCACGACGCGAAATAGCGAGATACGTTGGTGATGACCCCACGACGAAGGGGCACCAAAAGAGAAACCGTAGCAGACGAAGGACCACAAGGGATAAGGTCAACAGGGTAAACCAAGAGTTCCCCAACCACGAGGATGAGGTAGCCCATATACGGGACTTCCTGGCAGACGAACTCTAAAAAATGTGATATCATGAGTGGGGCAACCACAGTCGCGGGTGAAGGACAAGATCCCTGGAAACATACAGCATCAGCCACAAGGATGAGGCAGCCCGCATACGCAACAGAGGAGTTAGACAAATTTTAGACTATGAGTGGAGTAGCCATGGTGGCAGAACGCAGAATCGTCATGACTGACGTTCGCCCCTTCAAACAGCGATACTTTCCACTGGCGCTATGCAATCCATCATCGACGAGCTGCTCTCAAAGGATGTATCGAGCCGTCTCGCACAGCGCACCGATTGTGTTAGCCCGGAAGAAGAATGGGAAGTGGAGCCTATGCGTAGATTACCAGCAGCTCAATGATCGATCGGTTCCGGATGCATACCCTTAACCCAGGATACAACACATATCACACAAGCTACGTCAGGCGAAGTATATCAGTAGCCTAGATCTCAAAAGCGGATACTGGCAGATACCCCTGGAGCCAAATAGCCGCCCGTACACAGCCTTCTTCCTACCGGGACGCGGCGTGTTCCAGTGGCGCGTCATGTCGTTTGGCCTACATTCCGCGCCCGCAACATTCCAGAGAGCGCTCAACCAAGTCATCGGTCCAGAGATGGAGCCCTACGCCTTCGCTTATCTCGAACGCAAAGAACAGCGTGCCAACCTACGCACTAATCCCGAGAAGTGCGATATTTTCAAAAAGGATCTCCGATACTTGGGTCACGTTATTAGTGACAAAGCCACATACACCGACCCCGACAAAGTTGCCGCCATTCAGGAATTAAAGCCCCAATCAACGTGAAGGAGATGCGCCAATACCTCCTCCCCACGTAAACTGATGTTACTTTTTTCACATTTTTACGCAAAAATTTTCATTAAAAACGGCCTCAAGCTCAATGAAATTGTTGAATATAACTGTTGTAAGGCCATAAATAACAAAAACAAATAGCTTAAGGACGAGCACAACTAAAAGTTAAACATTCTAAAAATAAAATTATTGACAAAAACCAACAACCCATGATCAAGTGTAAATAGCAGCGGAATAGCTTCGTTTGATTATAGTTGGCTTAACACATGAGAAAGTGGAAAAAATCAACCACAGTTTACGTGGCGAACTTAGCTCAGTGGGTAAGACCAGAGACTGGCATGCGTTGAACGCCAACTATTGCATACTCAATCAATACTGCTGCTTTGTATGACTGAGCATCGCGTTGACTTAATAGTATCGATACCTAAAAGAAATCAGTGAATGACTGAACACCAGCGCAAACCGTGCTATCTTGCAAATACAGCCACCACAAGTGAACGATACTTATAACAGCTCATTCTGATATTGACTTCAGCAAACCAGTGTTCCGAATGCTTGTTCACGAAACTAGCAAACGCGGCATTTGAACGGTTGCCGAAAGCAAGACAGCACATTTGGACGGTTGGCGAAGGCAAGATGCCGCAGTTCATTTGTTGCAGAAGTCGTTTGACTTGCTGCTGAGTCATCTGTCTTGTTGCTGAAATCCATTTGACTTTTTGCTGAAAGCACGACGAATGTAGTAAAGGGTAATTTATCGTCTCGTATGTATGTATGTATTTATAGCGCGTCATCGTTCAATTACTTTACTCGATACTGGAACCAAGAGCGGGTTGGCAGGCTAGTTGTGAGGAATGTGCATACGTACGTATGTATGTATGTATTTATAGCGCGTCATCGTTCAATTACTTTACTCGATACTGGAACCAAGAGCGGGTTGGCAGGCTAGTTGTGAGGAATGTGCATACGTACGTATGTATGTATGTATTTATAGCGCGTCATCGTTCAATTACTTTACTCGATACTGGAACCAAGAGCGGGTTGGCAGGCTAGTTGTGAGGAATGTGCATACGTACGTATGTATGTATGTATGTACATATCAATGCTTCATTTCAAACAAGCAAATGTCGTTGATTTGTTTTTGAACTACAGTATCATGACTTCGGCAACCCATCAAACAGGCCTTCAGCAACAAATCAAAGGCGGCGTTATGACTTCTGCAACAAATCAATTCTATGATTTGCCTCCACTAACTGCGGCGTCTTGTCTCCGCCAACCATTTAAATGAGCTCTCGTGCTTTCGGCACCGTTAAAATGAGCTGTAATGCTTTCGTCAACCGTTCAAATAATACGTGCACGTTCATTCGGAATACTGGTTTGCCGAAATCAATATCAGTATGAGCTGTTATAAGTATCGTTCACTTGTGGTGGCTGTATTTGCGAGCACTGCACGCTTTGCGCTGGTGTTCGTTCATCCTCCGTTTTTAACAAAAACAGCATCGTTTGCCAATCTCTGGGTAGGACTACTGGCTTTGGCGGATGAGGTCGTTGGGTCCCAGTTGACAAAGTGTGATGAGGAGATGTGATGATTTCCGAAATAGCAGCTTTAACTTCTACCAAAATGTAAATTTTTTTCCGCAAAAATTTTCATTAAAAATGGCCTTAAGCTCAATAAAATTGTTAAGGCCATAAATAACAAAAACAAAATAAATTAATAAATTAAGGACGGGCGCACCTAAAAGTTAAACATTATAAAAATAGAATTATTAACAAAAACCAACAAAAACAACCACCACATGATGAAGTGTAATAGCATCTAGCAGATGAATGTGCATATGTACATATGTATGTATGGCATTGGTATTTTACATCTACTTTTACACAAATATATGGAACTATTACAATTTAGAGTATAATAAATATTTATTATTAACAATAATGCAGCTTTTTTGCATTAGTTTTAAGATTCAGCGATTTTAAATTTTGTTCCGACAGCATAAACTCGTCGTAGAAGGATTCAATGAAGGCTCTCTACGAAATTCCAATTTACGTCCGTAGCTATTCGGATTCAGTGATAGTACTTTCGTAGATTTCACGAAAACCGGGCCTACGATGGATTCAGCAAAGGTACGCCGACGTCGCCCAAAAGCGAAGCATCGGCAGAGTAACTTCGACACCGACGTCGTCCAGAAGCAGAGTGCCAGCAGAGTAAATTCGACGCCGAAGTCACCCAGAGCGCCGGCAGAGTAGAGCCGTCGCCAACGTCGTCCAGAAGCAGAGCACCGGCAGAGTAGCGCCGACGCCGTCCATGAACACAGCGCCAACATGCTAAAGTAACGCTGACATCGTCCAGCGGCAGATTTACGCCAACGTCACCAGTCAATAGAGCGCCGACACGATACAGCAACAGAGGTACGCAGACGCCGTGAAGCAGCTAATCATCGGCAGAAACATGCAGACCTCTCCCGACTGCGGGCACGGTAAGGGATCTTTACACCGTTAAAGATAAGAATATAAGAAATAAAGGCCCCACAATGTAAATTTATTGTAACGGACCCTGGGCACGGCGAGTATACCCCTGCATAGAAACAGAAGCGTTGGGGACTAGAGAAAAATGCTTCGTTACAATATATTCCAACCAATCAAGCCCCCTCTGGAATCAGATGTGGTAGAATATACATACATTTTTTTATAGTTACTATGTATTTGTTCAGTGCATCAGCAAATGTGTTTTTAAGAAAAATTACTTTCAAGCTGCATTTTGCTTAGCTTTTTAACAGAGCTTTGTGTGACTAAGTTTTATTCAATTTGTTTGGAAAGAGCTCATTTAACAGCACTACATGTACATATACCGCTTTTAACAAAAAAAAATCTAAATTTAGAAAAACGCTTGCGGTAAATCTGTAGACATTTTAAATAAATGGATTTCCACTTGACATTAAATGGCAAAAATTGTAATCACAAAGTTGGGCATTATAAAATATTCCTGTCATTACGTCAGAAAACTAGTCATCAACTTCATTTCCACATGGCCAAATTCATAAAAAATAAAGAAGACTTTAACTGCTTTATAAATCGAAAATTTGTATGAGAATGGCACTTAATAGAGCTCTTTAATTCTATTTTATTTTTTATGAATAAGACCATTAGTCTACCAAGCTTCTCATCTTCCACGTACATACATTAGACTGACACAATTTTGCACAATGTCGTTATTTTTTTGATGCTGATAGCTAAAAAGTTTCGAATACTTGTAAAAAGTCACCTGACCAAGTCTGGTTGCGAAATTCAAATATTAACCCGATGCGAGTCTCCGTTTTGTACAATTTTTGGCTACTAATATTTTAGAGCGTGCTCAAGAAGATGCCAAGGGTAGATTTTGTGGAAAATTAACGCGCACATACGCTAAATATATGTTTTCCAGGTCGCTGAACAGGATGGCACCATTTAGTTTTCTCTACCATTAAAAATTCTTGAGAAATTCAAGAAAATCTGAGAAAAAAGGAGAAAAAATATAAACTTTTCACTTTTAAAGCCTATTTGCTTAGAATTTGTTTTTATCAACAAAAGATAGTCAGATTTTTTGAGCAGTGTGGCTAAGGAATTCACCAATATTTATTCAAAATTTATATATACAATCGCTCATTAGCAAAGAAGTGGTTTTTCAAGAAATCTTAGGAAAATGGGGGTGGCACCGCTCTCTTATATGATATATGCGTATCTCAAAAACTACTTGACCGATCTCGACCAAATTTGAAAATCGGACAAAAACCACGGGATCCACCAACGTAACGGTAATTTCAAAAAACTTAAACCTAGCTATATTTTAGGGGGAGTAGGTTTTGTCCGATTTCAAAAGTATTTAAGATGGAACTTAAGGAGGCTGAGCACAATGTTTATACCAAATTTGCTCGAGATCGGTCAAGTAGTTTTTAAGATACGTACCCTGCAGGGAAACCGCGGACTGGTGAGTCAAATTTCTAGTTCCGTACTAGGTCTTTATCCTCCAGTCCAAACTCGGCGACAAGTGGTACTTTTAAAAAACTAATTTTTTTCAGTTTTTTCACTATATCTAAAGTGACGAATTTAGAAATGGTTCGGAACTATAGAAAAAGGGATGCAGAACGAACTAGATCTTATTTGTCGAATTTAGAACTAGTTCGGAACTATCGAATAAGGGATGCAGCGGGGGGCTTGTTTACTTTACATAGATATGTGTTCGGCGGCTTTTTCGTTCAAATACGCTTCTATTCTGTGCTTCGCAGATGCTTTTTCATAGCTTGGTAATACAAAACTAAAATTTGTGTTAACATTTCAACATATTGGGACCGTCTGGAATATAAGAAATAACAGCGAGCACCTCTGCAAACTCAGCTACAGCTAAAGGTATGTAAACGTACATTTCTTCATTCAAACGAATTTAATTTCAAATTGAAAACACATTTCTTCCAAAATAACTTAAAATCGTGCCACGGATGAACCAAAAAGATTGAAAAATCATGATACTTTTTTCTTTCGTCTGTCGATTTTCGAACTGGTTCGGAACTATCGAAAAAGGGATGCAGCGGGGGGCAATTGACACTTCCTAGGACATCGCCATGTTAAATTCGCCAGTTGCTTGCATGCAAAAGAGATTTATCGCGAACCAGTACTGGGTCTAAATGTAATAGAAGCGCACCAGTTCAGAACTAGAGATTTTCCCCACAGGGTATCTACTATATAGTTGTGGAAGTATGTATGTATGTGCCAGGTTGCAGCCTAAACGGACGGACAGAATCGATCGAAATTTTGACAGAGTATTTCCATGACACCTGGGCCTATAATATGGATTCGAACTTGAAATTTGGTGTCATATATATGGTAGGTGCTTATTAGGGCGGGTCGATTTAAAAATCGCTCATTGCTCTGTGAAAATCGTATTCTAGGGATCAAAATAAGAAACTTTGCCGAAGGAACCATACCTCTAAAACGAATTCTGATGTCCCCCAATTTGGGTCGAACTTTTGGGTAGGGGCAAATTTTGAAAAATCCCACTTTGACCCATTTAGAGTGCTCCAATCGAGTCCAAATGTATGACCGACCCCCACTAACTTTGGACGGCCGATCCACCCATGCCAGTGGCAC